GAAATAATCATTTTATTATCCTAGATGCTACCCCCTTGTTCTACGGAACCAACGGCAAATTATATTATGCACCGCGCGTCTTTTTTTTTTAAATGAAAATTAACAGTGTTTATTTCCGCCGTTTCGCACCCTTTTACAAAAAGTAACTCTGTTATTCAGTGTCATTTTGTATACACTGCAGTTTCAGTTGAACACAACTACAGTTTCATTTCGATATAACTATAGTTTCATTCGATATTTATAGACTCAAATATGTGAAAATGTTATTTAATTTAATTTTATATACACTATAGTTTTATTAAAACACAACTACATGATCATTTTGATATAATTACAGCTTCATTGTATAATATACACTCAAATATGTGAAATGTTATTCAGTTTCAGTTTATATACACTACAGTTTCATTTCACTATAACTACAGTATCATTTTGATATAATTGCAGTGTCGGTTTGGATATACTGTAGTGTCAATTGGTGTTTAATACACCAAACAAACGGACTCCGTTAACTCTAACGGCAGGCCGTTTCTTTACTTAAAGAAACGGCGCCGTATATGGGCCGCGGTGCATAATCGATTATGCACCGCGGTCTATAATATAACAACTGGGAACCAACACCACCCCACTTAGGCCACCCTTCCTTTCTCCTTAGGCCATCAACACCTCTATTATGAGTCCTAAAACCTCTCTTTTCTTTCTAACACACCATGACTTTTATTCTTCTTCGCCAAAATTTCACAAATAAAAATGGATCACTCTAATCTCTTGGACCAAGATCTTCTCAATAAAATAGCCCCCGGAGGCCCATGGCCTCATCATTATGAAGCAATCACTACATGAAAAAAAAAAAATGAAATTTACTTACAAAAAAAGTTGTAGGTAAATCAATGAAAATTCATAGTTATTATTCAATTTAGAAACATATTTTCATAAGTGAATCAATTAAATATGTAGGTATTAAGGTGTATTTACTTTATAAGTTTATATGTACATAAATTCATAGGCATATATCTTATTATAGTGAATAAAAAAATCGAGCAATTATATATTAATATGAAACAATTTCAAGTATATCAAAAAAATATTATTTTAATTAAATAATAATAATAAGGGAAAATTACTATTTTGGTCCCTCAATTGTTTCCAACTGTCAATGTAGTCTCTAGTTTTCAATTTCAACTAATTTGATCCTCAAAATTTTTAAAATTTCGTCAATTAAATCTTTCCATGGACCAAATTGATAAAAATTTAAAAATATGGAAATCACCATTTTGATCCCTGAAAGGGTTTAACTTATAAAATTTTAAACAATTTGATGATCAACAGGTTGTTGTGAATAATAGTCTGTCGTTGTTTGCAACAGCCTGTGTTAAAAAAAAAAAAAAAAAAAAAAAAAAAAAAAAAAAAAAAAAAAAGGAAAAAATTTCTATCATAAATATAAACAAAAAAAGAATAAAAATCAAAATGTACAAGTATGTTGGGCGTCGGTTGAGTTCAGCCCTTACTCAATTCAAGACTTGACTTACCATGGAAGGATGCGATTAAATGGTTACTGTTCACCTACTTATAACCAATTGTTTTTAAGAATGATATGACAATCAAATAACCAAAGAACTTTGTGGTTAAACGTGGGGAAGTAAGCATTGTGCAGTGCTGAGATCCATCAAAGTATTTATACGAAGAACATATAGTAAAATTTGAAGATAGCATATATAAAGTTTGTTGTGTTCTTGTATTTAGGGAAAAAAAAAATTCGTAGAAAAAGTTTAGAAGTTAGAGATAAAAAGTTGGTAGAAAGAATAAAAATCAAAATATTATCTTATAGAATAAAAATCAAAATATTATCTTGTAGCTCAATGGCATTTATGTGGTTCTCCCCTCATCACAAGTTCGAATTTCGATGTATAGACAGATACTGCATTGTAATAGAGTCACAAACCTACCATTAGTATTTACAAATGCATGTTGAAAAAATGTTGACCATTATTCTTTTTTCATAAAGAAAAATGTTATCGTAACTTTAATTTGCGTATCAAAATAAAATGTTATCATAACTTTGTATATCATAATTTTTATAGACTTTTAAAAATTTTTATGAACTTTAAAAGTCTATGAAGGTCATGATGAATATATCCCTTTTATTTTTATTTTTTTAAAAAGGACATATCAATTTGTAATTCTTATCATACTTAAGTAAGGGTGCGAAATGGATAAACTTTATTACTTTTTATTTTTAATTTGGTAAGTAATTTATTTATAATTTTATATAATACTATATTTTACAAGATTAAATTAATTTAGTCGAATCATATTTTAATAACTCAAACTTCTTTTATCTATGTCACGCCTTTTGATTAATTTTTATAATTCTATTTTGGAATTTATCAGTCTGATCCCCAGTCAAATAACCTATCGACTATCGTCTAAGATGTAGTAGAAAGCAAATCAATAACCCGACAAAGGTGAGTATGGTCAGATTGACAATACATGCATGCACCTCGTGAATAGGAATTATTATTATTATTATTATTATTATTATTATTATTATTATTATTTTGGTTTGATGGACGTAGCATTATCGTTGTGGTCATCAAATTTCGTAATATCTGATGTAACCATATTTCATTCAATCACATTAAAATTGATATTAGAAAAAATGTATTTTTTTCCCTGAATTATATATACTTGTAGTGTTGTTTCTCCTTGAATTATTCATGTATTCATATGAACTCTCTCAATTATTTTGAAATTGACAATTTTTTCATTTATTTTAAATGGGTTTTCGAACAATTAAAAATAAAGATAAAATAGGCATTTTAAGTCACTTGCTTACTCCTACAAATTATTGTTTATATGCGAAAATTATAATAAATATGAAAAATAGAAATTATTTACAAATATTATAATTACAATTTTAAACTAATGCTAATAATAGAATTAGGACTTCAATGTAAAATTAACATTAATAAATTATTTGTGTTTAGGTCTTAATTCTGTTACTAACATTAGTTTAAAATTATAATTCTAATATTTACAAATAGTGTCGGTTTCTTTTTCATTTATTTTGTTTTTTCACATATAAACAATTTATTTTTTTTGGAGAAGAAAAATTAAATGAAATATCTATTTTTCTCTTTTTAGCCGTTAAATGCCCATTTAACAGAATGAAAAAGATCACTATTTTTGAAATAATTGAGGAATTAATGTAAATATATAAATAATTCAGAAAGAAAAAACACCATAAACATATAATTTATGGTAAAAGTGGCATCTTGCATTGATATTAATTCACAACATACAAATACAAGATTATAACATTTATTACCCATTACGTTAACCCGTATCTCCTCCAGCAATGCTTCAATTTTTATTTTTATTTTTTGAAACAAAACCACAAAGAACTTATATATTTCTCATCAAGTCATTACACAAAATATGAAAAAGAAAAATGGGTTGATATCAAATCAAAATCGACTCTATAACAATAAATTAGCATTCCTAGCTAATAAGTGAGTCACAACATTAGCAGAACGCTTTACAAAATAGAGATTAACATTTGAAAATAAATATAGAAACCTATTAATATCATGAAGGATATGATCAAACCATATGGCGAAAGATTTTCAAGAGGCATTTGAGTGATAATTTGCTGAGCATCATCAATTTCAATGGTGACATGATCATAATTCTATCTCTTTAACCAACTCAATACTTCTCGGATAGTCAAAGCTTTAGCCTCCTTTAGTAAACCAGCTCCCATCTAATTACCCATCGCACTTAGCTTGCCGCCACAAAATTTCTCCGATAGTCACGTAAAATCCAGCTAATACCAATCCTGTTCATATCCTCTCAGACTACATCATCAACATTTAATTCTAGAATACCTTGTGCCATCAATGCTTAAAATAGGAGCTCCGGCGGATTGCAGCATCAACATTTAGATTAAAAAGTCTAAATTAAACACTCTCTTAGCCAAGTTAAACTCTCATACGGGAGGTTGTGAGTTCAAGTCTCAGTGGATGCGCTATTGATTCTCTGTGTTTCAGTAGGTTGATAAAGTAGTTATGAACATATACTGCATTGTAATAGAGTTAATAGAGTATACTCGAATTAATTTAGAAAAATTTAAAGTTGATCTAACTAAAAAAATTAAAATTAAAAAATATTTATGAATATAGTGTTATTCAAATTATTTTATCTATTATGTTTCATATTTTTGTCATTAATATTTTCACATTTTGATCACACTCAAGTATATTTTTTTGCTCCAATTCTAACTATCATGCAATCTATTAAAAACATTCTATTATAATTTATAATGTATTTTGTATTTTAATCTAATTATGACTGTTTGATATTTTGTAATTGACATTTCTATCATCATTTAAACTTCGTCCCCTCTCAAATAATTTTCTCGCTCCGTCCATACTTAAAGTGCGTCGGCCTAAAGCTTTAGGTGCGCGTGGTTTGTGTTCTTAAGGTGCTTTGTTTGTGTATACTCAATGTGCGTGGTTTGTGGTTTGTGTACTTAATTAAGGTGTGCAATTTTAATGCTTAAGGTCTGTCAACACGACACAATCGCACGAGAAGCAATACTCGCACCGAACACTTCCATATATATATATATATAAAAAGATAAGGACGGGATACAATTATACAAACCCACAATATAATACATACACTTCACGTAAATAATACACCGAAATGAAAGCAAAAGTATCCATACGACAAAGCAAAAACTCATTATATTTTGGCAGAATTTATGCATGCTGCTAATACAAACACACACCCACACCTCATCAACCACCGCACCGTTTATCAACACTTTACACAGGCACGCAATACTATTCCAGATATATTATTAATATTAATATATACATACATGATACATACATATATATATATATATATATATATATATATATATATATATATATATATATATAATGTGTATATATAGGTCTGTGTATATGGATATTATCCGTGTAGTGTTTTGATAAATCTCTCTCTCCCCTCTCTCTGTCTCTCTATCTCTCTAGACCAGAAAGTACATCTCAATATTTCCGCCATGGCGATTGTCAAAGCTCTTCACACTACGTTCGGAGTTTTTGGTATACTTCTTTCCTCCATATTTCTTTAAGAAACTAAATAAATTCTTAAATAATGAATTTAATTAATTACTGTATTCATGCAACAGGGAACATTACTGGCTTATTTCTCTTCTTGGCCCCAGTGTGAGATATTATACTCTTAGCTCTCCCTCTCTCTTCCCAATATTCATCCTTATCCTTATAGCATGTTTGATTCATAGAATGCTTCAAAATTGAATATAATTTACGGAAATGAATTTATTTCATTGTTTATTTTGATTTTTTTTTTTACCAGTAAAGTGTAATTTTTATCTGTTGTATATTTATGTTTTTATTCCTCAAACTAATCCAACATTGGTATATAATTTTTCAGATTTATTCCTTCAATGAACCAAATAATTGAATAAAAAAAAAGTCGTAATATAGTTAGCTTATCAGTTAATTTTAACTTATTTGACCCTATTAGATGTTTAACTTGGTTATACAATTTAAAATGCTAAAATTCAAAAAGTTGTTCAAAGTAATTTTTTCGATAAGCTTTTTGAGAATGTTATTTTGCATGTAATGAGCTATCACTTAACAACTAATTTACGATAGCTAAACTAATGAACCAAACACACCCTAATTTTTTTCACAATTCTTAAAATATCATTCTTTTAAATTATTGCTGGTAACGAGCTATTTTTGAGAATGTGATAACTTAAATCAAATGCACAAAAGATGTGCCTACAATTCAGCAAGGAGATTAGTCACTATGTTTTACGGTGAAAATTTTAGGTAAAAAAAAAAAAAAAAAAAAAAAAAAAAAAAACATTAACGCTGCTTCTATTTTTGGTAATTAATTTGTTATTAATTATTTGTCTTAGGATTACTTTCAAGAGGGTGATTAAGAAGAGATCAACTGAGGACTTTTCTGGAATACCATATGTTATGACACTACTCAATTGCTTGCTCTCCACCTGGTATGTCGTCTGTTCAAATAATTAATTATATTATATTATATTATATACTTAACTCCAAAGACAACTGTACTCTATGCTACTTAAAGATAACATATATGTATTGTGTTTACATATGTTTTGTTTTTCTATTTTTAGTAAATATAAAAAATAAGTTCAAATGTCATATAATTTTCAAGTTTGTTTCAATATATATTACTATAACATATCATTGGTAATAATAATAATTAAAAAATAAAAATAAAAATAAAAAGAGATGGGGAAATTTTTTTCACCCACACTACTGGAAATTATGTAATTTCCGACCACCTGAAAGTGATCTTATATCAAGTCGAAAGCTAAAAAGTGATCGGAAATAGCAACAAAAATTTTTCTGGATACCAAAAATGGTCGGAACAAGGCTTTCGACTTGATTTAAGATCATTTTCAGGTGGTCGGAAATTCCATAATTTTCAGCCGTGCCATTTTTTCTTTATTTTTCAACCTAATTTATGATCAAAATGCCCTTAAAGAAAAAAAAATTTTAGTAAGAGGCCGGAGGCCAGGGTGTTTTTTAGGGGTGATTTTTTTTTTTTTTTTAAATACAGATTATCGAGAATTAATTATAGAGAGAAAATTGATTTTTCTGAATCAGAAAATAAAATTAATTATGAATAAGAAAAAAAAAATTAATAATTTGCATCCCATAATTTGATTGACCAAGGGCTGATATCCTTTCTGTTAAAGGTGTTATGACTTTCATGAAAATTTTAAGAAATAGCACTATTATTTTACAAGAAAATTTTACAATGCCGTCTATTCTATATATAAAGTCGTACTTTGTGCTTTCTCAAAAATATATAGAGAAGAGCACAACTTATAAAGCAGAATGTACGACTTTGTAAAACTATTCTATATATGTAATTTGTATCTAGGGATGGCAATGGGCGGGGTGGGTGTGGGGATATATCCCCCGCCCTCGCACTCGCATTCCCAACTCATTCCCCACACCCACACTCGCGCGGGTAATGAAATTCATACCCCATATTTGTTCCTGCGGGGATTTTGTGGGTGCGGGTAATATTCAACCCGCAACTTTAATTATTAATATTATACTTAAATCTAATAAAAAATTTATACTACAATTCGAATTATCACATGAATTTTTTTATAAGTTTGAACATAACTCTAAAATTTAATAAGAGCCAATGAAGTTAGTCCTTAATTGGAACTAAAATTGTGTTGGTAGTATAAATTGTATTAAGCGATTACTCATTATGTTATTTGTGTTGTTCGTATTCAATTTTCATAAACAAAAGACTAAGACAATGAGATTATAATTCAATTGAATCCCTGAGGCACTAGCTCATAAAGAAGTTTAATTCATTATGCATTTTTAATTATAAACTTATATAATAAATGAATACTAATAACACACACATAAGTGCGGGTGCGGGGCGAGGATACCTCCCGGCACCCGCCCCCATACCCGCGCGGGTATACAAAATCTCCCCATACCCGCACCCATTACTCAAATTGTGCGGGTATGCGGAGAACCCATAGAATGCGGGTAGAATTGTCATCCCTACTTGTATTTCTAATTTTCCCTGAAAGGGCCTTTTTGCATTTTTTTAAATCATGAGATTAATCTTTAACCACTCAAACAATATTAAAAATAGGGAAAATGGCACTTCTTCCCCCTAAGTTATATACTTATAGCATTTTTTCCCCCTGAATTATTCAAGTGGCTGCTTTTCCCCTGAAATGTTAAATGGACATATTTACCCTTAAAATAAATATTTCATTTATTTTCCTTCTCCAACAAATTATGACAATAATTTGGTTCAACCCAAACAAACACTATAGCAACCAAACCAAAATATTCCAATTACAATTTAGAATCGAAACACGATATTTAGAGTTTATTAAAATCGCGAACCGGAACGGACGATTCATGTTCCGAACTGAAAAAATAAAATATATTTATTGTTAAATTTAGATTATTTAAAATAAAAAATAAAATTTTAAAATAAAGACGGTTCAAAATCACGAACCGGATCCAGAACCGCCGATTCACGATTCAAGATCTTTTTTTTTTTATTCATAATTTTAATAAATTGAAATCCAAATATTAGGTTCTAGATCTGAATCATAACCGGTAACTTTTAATTCAATTGCTATAGTGTCCGGTTCAGTTTGATCTGAACCGTGGTCATCCCTACGTATACGCGATAATTTGTTGGAGAAGTAAAATAAATAAAATGTTTACTTTAAGGGTAGAAATGTCAATTTAATATATCAGGGGGAAAAATCACCACTTTTAGAATAATTGAGGGGGCTAATGTGCTTACCTAAATAATTGAGGGGGAAAAAGTGTCATTTTCCCTTAAAAATAAATTGAAATGGAATTATAGTTTTTGCAAAACCCAAAAAAAAAAAAAAAAAAATGTTGATTTTGGTGTATGTTGGGCGGAGGCTAGTAAAGGGTCAAGTCTAGTAATGGGTGGCTAGGGGATTGTTGGGCAGACGCCGGTGAAGAGTCAAGTTCAGCACCCTGCCTCTCGAAAATGTAATTGTACGTATATAAGGAAATAAAGTTACGCATTCACTATGAGATATAGCTTTAGGCATAATAATCGTTTGATCCTAATAAGTGGTATTAAAATTAGGTCACGATAGCTTTTGATATAGTGATAAACGTTTAATCCTAACAATGAGATACCTATATATATATATATATATATATATATATATATATATATATAATAGGTATGGTCTGCCACTGGTATCACCAAACAACAAACTGGTATCAATCATCAATGGGACAGGAGCAGGGCTTGAGGGAATCTATGTGCTTATTTTCCTCATCTTTGCGCCCAAGAGAGAAAAGGCCAAAATCTCTGCCCTATTGGCTGTGGTGCTCTCTATTTTCTCTGCAGTCGCTTTGGTATCTCTGCTTGCTCTTCACGCCCATGCCAGGAAACTTCTCTGTGGTTTTGCTGCTACAATTTTTTCCATCATTATGTATGGCTCTCCTCTCTCTATCATGGTATGTATGTCTTATATGTCTATCATATCCTAGCTCTCAACATTATTTTATTTTCTTTTGTTTATTTTATTGCATCTTGGCATAATGTCCTGAAATATAAAATTTATTACTCCGTATTTGTGACATTGTTGTAAAAATCGGTCCACCTAGGCACCGACTAAGCGCGTCCCTAGACCGAGGTGATTTCGATCCGTCCTAGGCTGCTTTTAGTCAGTCAATCGATTAACGGGCCAACTAGACAACCTAGGCGTCGAGTTGGGTGCCTAACTCAGTCGAGTTGGGCGCCTAACTCAATCGAGTTGGGGGCCTAATTTGACCGAGTCGGTGCCCCACTCAGTCGATCGAGTGATTTTTTTGCATGCTCGGCTACTTCTCTTCTATATTTCTCCAACTGTGTACTCAACTAACCATCTAACATATGCATTTGACTAGTTTGGATGATTATAATAGTCTAACAACTCCTAACATTTACTGGAAAAAGTTGAGACAATATATTCGAATTACCCGGCCGCCTAGACGGGTGCCTAGGCACTAGGCGCCCCCGAGCCCCTAGTGCATTCTGCAACATTGATTTGTGATAAAGGTCCTGTTTGGTAAATGATTGTTAGCTGTTAGCTGATTGGGTTAATTAGAGGGTATAACTAGTTGATAACATTAGTTGATTGTAGAAACGTATTTGGTAAATTAGTTGCTAGCTGATAGCTGTTTGGTATAATTTCTTTTATAAAAAAGCTAATTGAAAAAGTTGCTTTGAGTAACTTTTTAAATTTTAGCATTTTGGAGTTACAAAATGCTAATTAGCCAAACATTTATATTAATGAAGATAATTTTTTGTTTTTAAAATTTTTTGATGCGTAGATGATGGTGATTAGAACGAAAAGCGTGGAGTTTATGCCATTCTTCTTGTCGTTGTTCGTTTTCCTGTGTGGTACTTCATGGTTCGTCTATGGACTCCTTGGCAAGGACCCTTTCATTGCAGTAAGTAATTATTTAATTAATTATTTGTATTCAATTACATTACTACATACTTACTTGATAAATAATATGTACGTAGTTCAATTCAAATGAATATATATATATGTTATGCACTAAGTAATATAAATCTCGGTTGGTTTATTATAAATTTTACAAAATCATACGATTATAAATTAAAAATTCAAGATTTAATGTTTAAATTACTAAGAACTAATTAAGAATCTTAAGTATAAATTCAAAATTCAAAATCACCATTTAAAACTTTATAATCTAGTCTAGTGGTATAAGTGTGAGACATTTTATAAGAAGTTTTATGTCAAATTATTAAAATTTTGACAAGAAAAACGTAAGACAAATGACAAAATACATAGAGTGAAACTCACATTGTTGTCGTACAATATTCATTATCTTGAAGTACACATACACTTACACATTTAAGTAGTACTCGTCACAATTTTTACAAGGCAAAATGATTAAATAAACTCTAAAACTAATAAAAAAGTAGGCTATTCAACTGAAAAATAAAATTAGATTAAACCCTTAAACTTGTAAAATAAGTGTAATTAGAACTTTTAACAGGTTATCATCCCGTAACTTGTGTTACGTAGTATTATATATACGTGACATATGACTTTTTTTTTTTTTATGATTTGGCACTAAATTGTACTCCGTATATTTTTAGAATTAATGTAGAATAATAATAATTTAATTTAATTTTGATATTTAAAAAATAATTAAAAAAGTGCTAACTTGCTAAAAATGCTAATTGTATTTTTTTTTTTTTTTTACAAATTCAAAAGTCTAACTACGGTTTAATGGTTTAATTAGTTTTTTTTTTTAATAACTTAACTGCGCTATTGCTACTGTTGACGTGTTTATTTGATTATTTTCTCTTTTTATAATATGTAATGTAATGTAATGCAGGTGCCAAACGGTGTCGGATCGCTGTTGGGAATGGTGCAGCTGATATTGTATGCTATATATCGTGGTAACAAAGGGGAAGGCAAGAAAGCTAACAACAGTGATGGTTGTGTGGAGATGGGGAATGGAAACAAAGTGAACGGTCAAGATGGAACTGCTTAATTACTTTTCAGATTATTTACTCAATCACAATGTGCTCTGCTATTTTATGTTTCTTTTTCTTTCAATTAATTGTACTAAAGCCACGAGGAGACCCAATTCAAGAGAGAGAGAGAAAAAAAAATGGAGAAAATGTTCAGTGGGCCACCAGCTTGATTGCTTTTAAGGGTAGAATATCATTTATTTTTATATAAATATCGTTTTATATATTTCAATAATTAGACTAAAAAAATTTTACCTTCATCCTTAATTAATATAGTGTTATAATGCATTCAAAAAATATATATATAGTGTTATAATACTACTTCTAATTATAAGAGTTACATTTAAACTCATATCATATTAAAACTAATCTATGTTCGCACTGAGCCGACTTAATTAAAAGGTAAAGTGATAGCTTTTCTATACGAGAGAGGGCTTTCAACTCCCGACCTATTTAAAAAAATGAAAGTGCATGGTCACTCACGTTAATAATCAAGTTGGTTCAATGTGGCACATTTAGGGTGTGTTTGGTTCGCACATAGGAATCGGAATCGGAATGGGTATCAAATACTTGGTAATGGTAATGGGTTTTGGTGAAAGTATTTAACATGTTTGGTAGTAGAGTGGAATGAGAATGGTTACTAATAGTAATGCTTGAGAATGGATAAGGGAATGAAACACTTATTGTATTTGGGTATGGATTTTTCAATTGATAGGGTATTTGATACCCATAGTAGTGTTCTAAAAATCTATCAACCAAACAACAACAATCACTTTCATACCCATTCCTATGGGCAAAACCCACCAACCAAACACACCCTTAGTCTTTTTTATGGTTATTATTTTGAATGGAAAAAATCGCGTCTTTCTAACATGAGTTGTAATTAAGGACGTACAATTTAATAACTTTTGAATATTGTAAATATTTTGTTGGAATGAGGTTCAAATTGGCCATCGAACTGCACACTATAATTCAACTGAACCTAAAAAATCAATAATTGGGTCCCTAAACTAACCAATTTTAAACAATTCTTCCAATTTGACGGTTTCCAACAGGTCAACAGGTCATCCTTCCAAATTAATTATTTTTTAAAAAATAAATTCTAAAAATTAATTATTAAAAAAAAAAAAAAAAAAAAATCTTCGTCTCCGGCCATGGAGACGAAGAGTTTCTTCGTCTCCAACCATGGAAAAGAAGAAACTCTTTGTCTCCATGGCCGGAACCAGTTTTTTTTTTTTTTTATAATTAAAAAATAATTAATTTTTAAAATTTATTTTTAAAAAAATAATTAATTTGGGATATGATCTGTTGACATGTTGGAAACCTTCAAATTGGAAGAATTATTTGAAATTGATTAGTTTAGGGACCTAATTGTTGATTTTTTTAAGTTCAGTGGCCTAATTACATTATCGTGTACAGTTGGATTGCCTATTTGACCCTTATTCCTATTTTTTTTAGCTATTAACAATTCAAATTCTCACCTTACAAATACACTAAACTCCAATAAATGCTCTCTTCCCCATCCAAAATCGATTGAATCATCTAACAAGATCATCTCTAATGTGTAATAGAATCTTGTAGTGAGTTATGTTTATGTCCAACATAACTCCATCCATCATAACAAGGTCTAATTACACCAAAGATAATCCCAGACAAGATGGTTAAAGATATAAATTTGTAACCACAAGTTTGAATTCCAGTGTTTTGGTATGAGCCGGTAAAATGACCACATTTATACCTGCCTAAAAATTTATGGATTACTGCAATTTTTACTTAATGATTTTATTACTAACGTTAACTATCCATTAAAATGAACTTTTTTTTTACATTGCCATGTAATGTCACTATTAATTTTTCAATCATTGGTCCACACAACTGTGTGGACTATACTATCAAATAATGTACATTCAGTATATTAGTATATTGTATTCAGAAAAGTACATTATTTGAGTACTCCTTTTCAATTAATGTACTTTTAATATATAAAAAATGTACATTGTATTCAGAAAAAGTACATTATTTGAGTACTCAGAAGGGACAGGATGGATTGATCCTGGTGGATCCAATGGCTGTAGGCGGGGTTGGGGGTTGTCGTCGCCGTCGTACCACCGGAAGCTACGTCGCTGCTCGCTGGAGTCGTGAGAAGCGCCGGCGGACAGGGAGTATCACCAGTAACGTAGCCCAGCAGTCCTTGCCCTCGGAGAAACGGTATCAATTGGGTTCACCAGAATAGATAATTCTTCGCGGTAAGCTTTAGGGAAACAAGGTGGTGGGCGGTGGTCAGGGAAGTCGGGGTGGCCGACGGTGGCACGGTGGCGGCGGTCACCGTGCGTTCGCTAGAATTAGTCGACATTTTGGGAGTGGAGAGAGAAGGGATCACCTGAGGTTTAACTGATACCAGATGAACGTGTGTTTTCTGTATAACTCAAACTGTCAACAATACAGAGATACAAAAGACCTAGGAGTCTAAACCTAACCAACTAACCCTATACATAAGATAAGTAGTACTAAATCAACTATAACTAAATAATGTAACATTATAACATTACAAATATAATAGGACTAACAAGAAAATACATTATTTTGTATAATGTACATTCAGTACACGAATATTGTTCTTTTAATATAGGAAAAATGGTCAAATTAACCCCCTAAGTCAAGGATAGTGTAATTGGGTTCCCTAAGTTTAAAAAAAAAAAAAAAAAAAAAAAAAATTCAGATCCCTTAAACCAATAAAAAATTTCAATTAAGTCCAAGTTGACCTATTTTACAGGCTATTTCTTCACAAATTTGACATGTGTCTTTTTAAATAATTTTAACTTTTTTAAAATATATTTATTACAAATTAAGAAAAAAAAAATTAAAAAGAGATTATAGCACCGGCTATCCTCGCCGGACAGCCGGTGCTGTCCAAGCATGACGGCTACGGTCGTCTGGAACGAAGGCGACGGCCATGGCCATGACCGCCGCCGCCCTTGTTCCAGAAGTTTGAGGTCCAAATCTGAAAGATGGACGACCATTCACAATATTGCCTTAATTTTACACCCCACTTAAAAATATAAACAAATAAAAAATTTGTAAGGTGCAAAAAGTGCAATACTAAGCTCACAAAAGACCTCTCCCTCCTATGAATATTTTGTTCAATGATAACTTCAATCCATCTCAAGAAGTCAAATAAGTTTCAATGGCCCATCTAACGTCCTCAAGAACATCCCTTACTCCCCATTTGCTTTCCCAGGAACAGGACGCCCTAAACATGATATTATCCTCAAAATATGGATGAATATAATGAGGATAATATTTTGTTTTCAAAACCTAAACGTGTTGCAATCTTATCTTTTTTTAAGATGTTCCAAACAACCATGTTGGTGTTGATTAATCAAGTAAGTCCAACATGTAAGATTTTCTAGTTATATTATATATTAGAGCCTTAAATTAAGGGGTGCAAGTTGACTAGGAGTAATTTGGTTGGAATGGATAACTAGGGAGTTGTTAGTTTACCAGACTCTGTGCCTAATATAAAGCCTAGACGGATGGGTACAAGATATATACATTATATAACACATTCAGTTCACATGAATGGTCTGCCATTCAAGAGGCAACACAACAAGATATCAACTATGACCAGAGATCAACACGGCTTCCGCTAGGTTAGATTTCTCGTAGATCCTATTAAGTATCCTTAAGGGTAACTAAATGTTGATATATGAAATCACTTCTTTTTTTTCCAACCATCATTCTTCTTTTTCTTTTATGTTCTTCTTTTTCACAGCCTCCCTTTTAATCATTCATCCTTGCTTTCTATCATTTTTGTTACTTTTAGCATTTTGGAAGCATCAAGCATGAACCTAAACCTGTAGCCATTGAAATTTTTGATAGAATTCATAGAAAATATGTACTATTAACCTTGGATGATAGAGGGTTGGGGAAAAAAGTTTAAGAAAAAAGTATTAGAAAATAACAAATTTATCCTTAAGATCATTCACTTGCCTATAATTTTGTCACCGGCAGCCATAATTTATGTAATGTGGCAAGGATTTAAAAGTAGTAGGATTAAATATGAAAATTTTAATAGTTATAGAGATCAAATGTAAAAATGGTCTCGTCCTCTCGTACTCATGGGACAAAAAGTGAAAAAACTCAAGAAAACTTCCCGATTTCCAGCAAGTTCCACCATTGCTGTACTGCAAGCAAGCTAATTCTTCATTCATTCTCATAAGGTAATTTCCTCTTAACACAGAATTTTCCATCTCTTCCCCTAAATTTTGTTGACAACGAGTTCTAGTTGCGAAAACCCATGGTTTGATCCAAATTCTTTAGGTATTCTTTTTAGCATAGCACTAGTCCCTTAGATAGTCTATCAGGTGAGTAACAAAGGAAGTGATAGTCAAAAACAATGGTTCCACTAATTACCCTTTACCTCCAAGTAGTTCTTAGAATTCGAGTGATAGGTTGGGATTGTTATAGCTAGAGTTTTCTCAACTTTTGGTACCTCAACTATAATACCTCTCCCAAATTAGATCCCTGCCTATCAAGATTTTCAATTTTAATGCATGACTATTCAATTTCTTCCACATTTAGTTCCTTATTCAATTTTTCGACCAACCTAAGTCAAAAAGTAAGAATAAAACGACTTTCTTGTACTCTTGCAAAAACTTGGTATTTTTAACCCCCTACCAACATTAATCAACTTTAGCTCTTTGATGCTAAATCTCTTCCTCATTTACAAGTTTTTGCAAAGCTTGCATCTAACATCTAGCTTTTCCAATTCTTATACCATGAACCATGCTTCACATACCCCTATACTAAGATGAAATCCTTGATACAGATTCATTTTTAATATATTACAAGTTCATTTTAACTTACAATATATTAAAAATAAATCTACACAAAAATATAATGAATCTATTAGAAATAAACATTCAATAAGATTGAGAGTATATGCTCCAGCACAAAGGAAAATGTAGAATGCTTGAATATAAATCATAACTTAGGATTGTAGTAATAACCCACAACACGTCTTGTGTATCTAAATATAAGACCCTCTATACATGTTTAGAGACACAAATACAATTAAACCTCTACTCCCACACTTTCCATTTCATTGTCAAAGAATCAAACCTCTCAAAAAAGTCTTAACCCCAAATTTATCAGTTAGTATACTTACCAACAGGTGGAGACGAGCTCTTAGCCTAAAGAATCCTTGATGCATCACCACATGAATGATCTACATAAGCAGATATATGTGAAGTTATCAAGCAAATATGTGCTATTTAACAGCTATTGCTTGAATTCTCCACATGGTAGGAGATGCACCATTATTTGAATAGGATTTAAGTGCACACATAGCACCCAGGATTTGGGTTCTCATCCGAACTGATAGTGTGATGTTAGTAAGTTTGAGTAGTTGATAGCATTAGCTGATTATAGAAGGATGTTTGGTAAATTAGCTGTTAGCTAATTACATGCAAAGTGACTTTCTCAAAAAGCTTATCGAAAAAACTGTTTTGAGCAGCTTTTTGAATTTTAGCATTTTGGAACAATACACTGTTACAAAAAGCTAATTAATCAAACACTTATATTGAATTTATATTGAATGTTTAACCAAGTCAAACAACTAATAGTGGTCAAATCAGCCCAAATGACTGATAAGCCAACTATGTTACTAAATTGGGCCAACATGATCTTTTTTATTGGGAGAAAGGGAGATATTAGAGACTAGAGCCTAAGTGCTGCTGAAAGACTGTTTAGTGGCATTTTGGAAGTCCTGATAGATCTGACTATCTTTAAGCATGGTCCTTTGTAAGATCCATGCATATATTATGGGAAAGCAACTCAATTATAGGTACAGTGGACTCAATCCAAGCATCTCCACTTTTGATCTTCAGGTTAACTACCAATAGGTGCTTTTGGTCCCCAAATGATTAACCTGCCTTAGAACTAGAGTGAAGAAATGGTATCAATAAGCTAATAAAAGACTGTTTAGACTCAAACTCCAAATTGACAGTCTTTCACAAAACTTCTTCAATACCTGGGACTAAAAACACCATTTCAATGTCAACCTGAAGACCAAAAGTAGAGACATCAACAAGTTAGAGATTGAAGAATGTCCAAAAGTTTCATTTTCCTCGCATATTATTAATTAGACATGTATGGCAATAAAGCCAAAAATGAGTTTCAACTAAGGACCAAGGAAATCAACCATAGTAACTCCCACTAGCTTCAACTGTTTAGGATATTCAGAACTCCACTCACCAAGCATGATTTCCTTGGGAGCGAACGTGTTGCATAGGCAAAATGCTCATATATTTAAAGTAAATATTCACAACTTGTTAACATGCGTCAAAGACACATTATGTATCAAGCCACAGTATGAATTACATACCTTTTTATATCATTGATTCATAAATAACACAAAAACATTGACATCAACGAGAAGCAGAGGTCATATATTTAAAGTAAATATTCACAACTTGTTAACATGCGTCAAAGACACATTATGTATCAAGCCACAGTATGAATTACGTACCTTTTTATATCATTGATTCATAAATAACACAAAAACATTGACATCAACGAGAAGCAGAGGTCTTGTATTTGATTCTTAGAAACTTTGTTCACACATTCAGAAGACACCACCATTCCCCGGGCCTTCACTTCTACTGCTACAATGGAACTCCTACGAATTTCTCTCCACTTTTTCATCACACAGCTCTATGCCTCTATTATCACCCTACTGCTTGTCTACATATGTCAATTGTGCTTTGACTCTGCAGTATATGTTACAAAGTTAGCCAAAGAATCCCTCTAGGTCCGATAGAGACCCTTGCCCACCCTACTGGCAACTGCTCTTCTTAATGAGTTAAATACAGTTCAATGATGATAAGCCTATGCTCACTCAAGACAATGGCCACGGAGCTGCTACATATCTTGGCCAGGTTTACTACAACAGCTTGAGTTTATCACCTTATAATTCCCATCATATGCCAGCATTCATGAGCTCACAGAACATGTTATTCAGTAAATTAAACTGATGGAACAGGAGAATTAGCCACTGCCCCTCGCTTCATTTTCTCCTTCTGTCCCAATTTTTCCTTTACAAGCTGTAGCAAATGGTGCATTGGCACGTCTGTCTTTAGTTCTCAAAGAAAATTCCGATTTCCCCTCACATTCAAAAAGGGCTACTGTTGTCATCATCTTCAGCAACGGTGCTCATATCATTTTCTGCCGAATTTTTGACATTTCTCAATTGTTAACATACACAGATACACTCCACTTTTCATAAATCCTATCAGCATTGGCAGAACCCTCAACTAAATAATTCACTGGTGTCAAGTCTATCAAGGTTAGTGATAAAAGATACTGTTGAGAACTCACAATCATCATTGTTGTCCTTCCAAGGCAGTGGAGGAATAGAGATCAGTAATGTGCTTTTGTAACTTCTAAACAATTGTGCCTAAGTTGCTATCATGGAATCATCGCATGAAAAAGCTTCTTGTACGGCAATTATAAAGTAAATCTCCAATCATCTTGTCTGCTCTCAGAATATATTGGTAGCCCTAAAACCTCACTAATTTCACTCAACAGTGTATCTGTTGCGATATCATCCTCCATTCGCTGTTTAACCTGCTATTCATTGATAAAACCAGTGAATGCATACCAATCAACAATAAAGAACACAGTTCAACTATGAAAATGCTAACCTTCTCATAGGTGTTGACACTGTCTGGAGCTAACCTTTCTCTCCTTGTTCGCACAAAGACCCAAATTCCTCTCTTTGGATCCCAGGAGCACTCTAAGATCTTACCTGAATATGAAGACAGATTTGATGCATCTGCAAGGTAACAAGGGAAGTTAGATGAACAGGATAACCACTGCCCATAGTACCACTGTACTAGAAGTACTCAGTTATTAAAAAAAAAAAAAAAAAAGGTACTCAGTTTGAATAGATTTTAGGAATTGAATGGTTTTAACCCGGTTAACCCACAGCCCAAACTGTTTAATGGGACAAAATTAAAGATACTAGTTTCTTTTTTCCCTCTCCCGGCCCCTCTGACCTCGAAATTCCACTCGACATCCATCCATTTGCTTATTCCTTCCATAGTGCTGCAAATAAAGTGCATAATCATCATTGACACCCGCCTGTTAATAGAATACAGAGTTAGTTCCCTCTAATACATCAGTGGGAGCCAGGAGGCATTCTAAATAACTAAAAGAGCTGCATTCTGATGAAAATTAAGATTACCTTAAAAAGAAAATCCACTGTATATCCTCTTGGATATTTCCACTTTAAAAGTCCTTCATGTGCCCAAGGTCTATAAGCATCATTCCAGGCCTGTAATTGAAAAGCATGTGTTCATAAGCAAAAATGCTGAAAATAGATAAACAGAAAGAAGGAACCCACACTGCAAGAAAATAATCCATTACTTGAAAAATAAGACCATCCGTTGCATCTGAAAGAAATGGCAAGAACTCTTTGACAAGCTTAGTAGAAGCAGATAAGTGGTAAAACTCTTTCCTCGCTACCTGAAGTGCAAAGGAGTGTGTCAAAGACAAAGAAAACACTAAAATATTACAACAGTTGAATTGTTCTATAAATCAGTTATATATACTTCAAATGGCTCCAGGTCATATTGGTAGTAAGCATTATCACCCTTGCACAATAAATCACGCTCATAATTTCGGGGTTTGATCACCTCATCCTCAATAAGCATCAATCTTTCATGAAGTGGTAGCTGCCAAAGTGGTTAATAATCAGAGATTTTGACCAGAAACTAACCAATAGAATGCAAGAAATGCTTAGTCTAACCACTCAGTGCTTACATAATTGTAAGGAAGATAAAATCAAGATGACAAAAAATCTGGACATTTACATAGAACACCACCTTCTGACATCAATCACTAATTATTGCATCAATGAGTGGTTAAATCAAAAAATTAAAAAATCCAAATGCAATAGGATACTTGTACAAATATAACCACATGCTCAATATTCATATAACAAAGTTAGCCGCACATAATTATATATTAATGGCAACTAACCATTCATGGATAAGAATTCGAAAGGTATGCAACAAATGCTTGTACACAATATATCTATCCAATAAAACAAATGGTTTGCATTTGGTTCTATTACTTCTGTAGATGGCTTTTAGAATAGAAAAAATATTACCACTGTGAGCATTTCTACATCAACTCTTCCACTTGTCTACTAAAAATGTGTAGTGGTATACCTACCTTGGCAACGGGTACTTCATTAATTGCTATCACATCATAGATGATGTATCTTCTCTTTTGCTGTGTTTCCTGTTCAGTGTTAAATACCATCACACCATCAAGTAACGTGTATTGATGAGTAACTTCGGTTATTCCCTAACAGACACAAGATGTATGTCAAACTTCAATAAATCAAAAAAAAAAAAAAAAAAAAAAAAAAAAAAAAAAAAAAAAAAATCTTATGAGCACAGAACCAAGCAGCCTCTAGATTTATACCTCAAAAATATTTTTGCAAGGAAACCGCAACTGGATCTTTTGAAAATGAAAGTTTCTATCAATCAAATAACAACCATCATGGGTTATTAACATCATATATCGTGTCCCATAACCTTTCCATGTAACATAGTAACACTGTTCCCTTAGGAGGTGTAAGTTTTTCCTGCAATATGAAAGAAACTATGATCTATAGGAATAATGAAAGTACACTATATGCTATAGATTGAATTGTTTCACAAATTTCAGCAAAATCTAATTTTCAACTTCAAGTTAATATAATTTATAAGGTTAAAAATAGTCTTGTCACTCTTTTTGTTTCTATCATGAGAAAATGACTTAGATTCATACAAAATATTGCTAAGATTCTTCATTTTAAGGGATTTTCATGACATTCATAAAAAATAGCAGCCTCAATGTATGTATTACAAAAATCAGAAAACAATGCCATTCAAACATTTAATATCCCAGACAGAGCTTTCAGTAATTTTCATTTCACAAGCTCCAGTTATGATGTAAGAATTAAATTTTATTTTAAAAAAAAAACAAATCAAATAGAAGCATCAATGTATGTAATACAAAAATCCGAAAACAGTGCATTCAAATATTTAATAAACCTAAACAGCACTACTTTTGTCAGTTTTGGATTTCAGTCATTGTCATTTCACATAAGAGCAGTAATGCTGTAATGATGTAAAAAAATTTTAAAAACTGAAAATAGAAACAATGTAGGATGTCATATTAATTAAGGAAAATGTTAAAAATATCGTTGCTTATCAGTTCAAAAGAAACAAAGCAAAAGTTATAAATGATTCACATTATGAAAATATACGCAAAAAAGGTATCTGTTCAATGCATCAGAATGCAAAGCAATGTAAAAATCTCTGTAAAAGAATCTGCTATTCAATAGGTTTTACCTGGTTAGAGGAACGGGAAGTGACCCCGGAAATTCTGTGTTTTGCCATGCCTGAGGATAAAATTTTTGAATTAGGTTCCAAGAGAATCAAACCCAATGCAAATAATTAACCATATAAAATGCCAAAAACAAGTATTAAACTGAAATGTGGGGAACACAAATTCTTGACCATGACAAGAAATTGTTAATCCGTGCTGTATACCTATAATATTTTTAGCTTTTCAGTAAGTCAGCAAAATAATTATTTGGAAGATGAATAGGGCAATAGGCACCATAAACACTAGAAATAAACTTTTTTCAAGTAAATAAATCAAAGTACAAATAAAAAATTTAAAAAAAATAAATAAAAAAAAAATCATACCTGTACATGCAGGTCAAGTGCAGAATTGCAGAAATACCTCATTTTCTCAATATCTCCAAGTGAAGCACGATCTCGCAGAGCATCATTGCATATAGATGAAGCTCTAATAACAGTATTCTGTCACAATGGGCAGCAAGAATATTAGTGAAGATACTATGAAATTAAGCAAACAAATTTATTTTATAAGCGAAATACATGATGTCCTGACTTTCATAGGTAATATTCCCTATGAGAAAACTTATTGACATAACAATTAAAAAAAGCCATTTGAAGCTATACATACAATCACAATTTAAATGGGGTCCCCTTCAGCTGTCACATAACACTAAACCAGAGCAAATTAGCTTCATTGAGACCTATAAACAAATGTTCGACACCATCCTAGAAGCAATAGTTATATTGTGGACCAGGGTGCATGAACATGCACCAAAAACATTTAAACATCCCTATTTTTAATCCTTAATTTTTTTTCCAACTTAAATTTATTTCTCTTTTTCTTTTTGTACAAATAAAAATAAAAATAATGTATAAATATATGTCATTAAAAAGCTTTAATTGAGATATTTTAAATGACACCCATATTTATACATTTTTTTTTAAAAAAAAATTATAAGTACATAAAATCATTACTTTAGTTTAATGTTTATGTACATTAAACTTTATTTTTATAATATAGAAGAAACATTATGAACCTACTATAGACTAAATGAAAATAGATATGATGTACGTGCAGTTTAGTGTTTATGTACATTAAGATTTAGGTTTATGATCACATAGAACAAATATTATGAACACAGTACAAGATAAATGCTACTACGTATTAAACATGATGCACATGTAATGTAATTTTATGTACATTAAACTTTGTTTTTATGAACATATAGAAAGAATATTGTGAATATACTATAGAGTGAATGCAAATAGATGTGATGTACCTATAGTTTAGTGCTTATGTACATTAAGGTTTAAATCTATGATCACATAGAACAAATACTATGAACATAATACAGCACAAATGTTATTATTCATGATGCATTTGTAGTGTAATGTTTATGTACATTAAGCTTTGTTTTTATGAACATATAGGAGAAACATTATGAACCTACTATAGAATGAATGGAAATACATATGATGCACCGACAGTTTAGCGTTTATGTACACTAAGGTTTAGGTTTATGAACATATATAGAATATATATTATGATATGAACATAATACATGATAATGTTATTAGGCTATCCTCACCCCTAAAATTTTACCTCTTTCAAAGTGATATGGCATAAGCCATGTCACTATTTATTGATTAAAATTTTGTTAAAGCATGAGGTAGCTTGAAAGTCTTGGAAAGTGTGGCAAAAGTACAATGCCATGAGTTGAGAGAGAATTTGTCACCTTTTTTTTTTTATCATTTTTTAATAATTTAATTTAAATAATAATAATAATAATAATAATAATATTGATGAAAGATAATAATTATTTAATGTGATGTGAAATGTGGATCCACTTTCGAAAGTGAGTTGAAATTGCAGGGACGTAGAGAAAATAGTGAACAAATTGTAAATTTGATAATGTGAAAGTAAAACCCATTTTTTAAGGTGAGAGTATTGCAGGGATAAAGATAGCCTTATTTCCTTAAACATGATACACTAGTTGACACCGAATATAAAACGACATCATTTTGGACCAAGATCCACCTTGCAAGATGGACCCTGGGCGACAATATAATTTGCCTCCTAGAATCTATGAAATTGGATACTGATTGGAATTCTCATGAGAAATTAACACTGAAGAACACAGATTATCCAAACTATCAAGAAATATTTCACAATCATCTAGCTCCACTGATAATTATATACTCCACTTGGGATCTAACTTTTCATCAAAAGAATTTTAAAATATGGGATCTGGGTGACTAATACTTGCCCAGAGAATGCACACTGCCCCACTAATTGTGAATGTAGATCCCAGATAAATATAGGGTTCTAAAATAGCCTGGGAAAGTATGCAGTAAAATAGCTACAACTTTAATGGGCAAGGACACTGCGGTAGGCAGTGATGCTGTGGTAGAATGCTGCAAGTCTGTAGATTTGTAGAAATTAAAACTTAACCTTCCAAAGATTAGTTACTTAATACAGAAATGGATTGGAGAGCTGGCATCCATGGGAGCCTAGCAACTAAGTGGCAAAAGAACAAAAGTTTGGAAAAGAAGAACGAGCAAAACGAACTTGCAAGTTATGGAATCTCAGTCAACTGGCAATATAATTCACTACAGCCTAGTTTAGCCCAAGCATTGATAACTTCATCTTTTATTGGATTCAGACAGTGAAGCAGAGTAGAGAGAGTCAAGATTTAGCTCCCAAGTCAGATATAGCAAGCAAGTTACTGTGCCCTTACATGGGAAGGAGAAGTAGCATCTTCTCTCCGATCAGGTTGCTTCTTCCATTCAGGAGTTTTAGGATAAACAACAAGTTCAGGTTTGCTTTCGAGAAAAGAACTGTACAATGCATCAATGTAGTCCTTCTTGTAAATTCCAGGACTACGAGCATTGGAAAATTTAGCTATTGCCTGCACATTAAGAGTAAAGACTCAGAGTTGTTATGAGTATTTGCGTTGGATCATTGAAAGTCTAAAATAAGTGAAAAGAAATATATTTTGGTGACCCAAAATAAATAATTTCCCACCTCAGTGACGGTAATCTTTTCAATACGTACAAGAAAATGAACAATCATGTAGCCTGTACGGTTGTAGCCATGTGTACAATGAAGAAAAACATATTTATTTGCATTCTCTGGCTGAGATTTAAACTTGGTGACCTGAAATTCAAAGATCAACCTCCACAAAGTCAAAAACCCAACAAATATGGGACTTCAAGTGGAGTAAAATTGAAAACTGATTGTTGTAGTTTCTGTACATGTAATAGAGAAAGAAAATACAAAAGGTTATGGTTTGAAACCAGTGCTTATGCTAGGAAGGAAAAATACCTCATCAATAAATATATTGATAGACTCGTCATCAGGAAAGTTCATTCCGGGACACCTAATCTGGACAAACAAATGTCATGTGTTAACCCAATAGCCACCTATTGTTGAAGCAAGGGCATACACCTCTAGTTAGGCTATTACCTTAACATATCTAATACCCTGGCTTGTCCAATCTGATTCCGGATAGTAGCGAAATGTGTTTGTTAAATCAATCACTAAACCTATCTGGAACATTGAGAAGCAAAACAAGTTTAACAACACAAGTTAAAATTGACTGTTGAGGAAGAAGTGCACAAAAGAATATCAGCAAATAAACCACCATTTAGAATTCTAGTAGTTAGAAACTTCACAAACTGAGACTGGAGTGAAGCATGATCTGCACTTACAGAAAATTTTATCAAGTTAATACTTACTTCTCTGCATAGACACCTTTGCTCATAAATAGCTTGATTTGGGGTGTATCTTTTTATGCGACTGATATTCTTGTTAAAAGCTTCACTGAGAGGAACTTTTGACGGGATTAGATAACCAATGCTATCACCATACGGAGGGCAGTTCAACCAGCCTGCAGTCCAACCAGCATTAATGAAACTCCAAGCCAACAAACAGTTGAGGGGAATACTCGTAGATAAAACAAAACTATGAAGTTTTGACATCAAAATTTCATTGGGTAAGCAAAAAGCAGAATAGCCAAGGTTTAAGAACCCACCAGAGGGAACGGTAAGAGGGTCAAAGAAACTGACTTTGTTGTGATTGAATCTAGAGTGATACCCCTGAGAGGCCCCATATGATTGGTTAGGACGCTGAAGATCATTATTACAGTCAACCCTAATTCCTGCATAGCATAGCAATGAGCTTTTGAAGTGCTTTCCACAAAGAATGTATACAAAATACTCTCGTGCTCTTGAAATCAAAAGTTTTCCAAATCTGCATACCTTGCCACCTACGAGGCTCATAGAATCTGCGGTCATGGAGCCTCGGGTTTTGTGTGTATCTCCAAGTGTTACGCCTTGGATCTTGACTGGAACCTTCATATGCTAAACTCCTTTTCAGTCTGTGTTGATGATGTCCTCCAACATCCATATTGGAAGAACAGAGCACAGTAGTTTTGCTAATTGCTACAACTCCAGTCCAGATTTGCATACACTATCTCTGCAGAAACCACGTCCTTAATCCCTGCAGTATCTGACCTACTCCACATCAATCCATCAAAGCTCAATAGAGAAACAGAGAATTACTAAACACAAAGCAAATCAAATACAATCAAATTAAACTAAACAGAGAAGAAAACTAAAAAACATGTTGATTTACGGAGTATTATTCTCAACATTATAAAAATAGAAGAGTAGCCAATTAGCCATTGCAGCATGCTCCAGAAGCAGCAGCCATGGCGATCCAATCGGAAACTCCAATTGGACTCCGTAATAAACTAAAAAGATGAATTGAAAGAATCAATTACCCTAATTTTGCGAATTAGCGTGGTCTGGTATGGCCCTTTGAGTTCGAATTAATCCTGCCCTGTTTTCTTTCTCGCCCGATTTGAAGAACCAATGGGAGAAAACTTCTCAATTAGGGCTGAAAACTGAAGATTGAGGGGAAAGTCACGTGATGTTTACGTGATTCTATCCGTTACATCGAACACTCGAACACAGCTATAAGCCTATTGTACTAGGGATGCGCGTGAGCCGTGAGTCATGAGACACATACATATCAAAATATCAATCAATAGCTGACAAATCAAATTAATTCAGATCAAGGATTGGTTTGTATCTTGTTCTCTCTAAAAAGGAGAGTATAAATTTCTTCCTTTTGGGTAGGTAGGGATTAGGAGACTCCTTAACCTTGTATTTTTTCCTTTATTTTGGCAATGGAAATTTTCTCTGAGAAGATTTAGGAAGAAGTTAGATAGAGGGAGTGGAAGCCTTTTAAAGTGGCATAGAGATCTCCCATCTTTTCTTTGTTAACGACTTTATGCTTTTTGGAGAAGTGTCGGTGGATCAAATTGAGAACATATTGACGATGATGAATGACATTTTTAAAACTCAGGTTTGAATACTAATTTTACTAAATTTGTGATCTTCTATCCCCTTAACACTTGTGGCATGATCAAAAGATAGATCGGTGAGGTGGTGGGAAATCGGGGATCCCGGTCACGGAATCCATGGGGAAATATTTAGGGATTCCCATTTTGCAACAAAAAAAAAAAAAAAAAAAATGGTGTCTAAAAATATTTTTGGATATATCCAGGAATTGATGAAAAAAAAAAAAAAAACTAGCAGGTTAGAAGATGAAATCTCTTAGCCCGTGCGAGGCGAAGGGTTTTTACCCAATTCGCCTTCGCCACGATGTCAGTCTACACAATGCAAGTCATGGCTCTCCCAAAAGGAACCTGAGAGAACATTGCCAGGATGTCAATCTTTGGTTTAAACTTTCTCCTTAAGGTTTTATCATTCAAGATAAAGCATGTTCAAAAAATGTGGAAGCATTGTATGTTGGTTTTCTCTCTTTCCAGATTTCATAGGAGGTCTTTTTCGTACTTGGCATGAAATATAGTTTATTAATAGTGTGACAGGCAGTGTATACTACCACTAGCTAAGGTATAGTAGCCTTTCGGATTTGCTCATTGCTCAAGCCATTTCTTGTAGAGTTCTATTCTTTCTTTCTACCACTCTATTTTGCTAAGGAGTAATTGAAGCTTAAAATTCATGCGCTATTTCTTGTTCTCCATAAAAGTCCTCATACAAACCGTTATTAAACTCACTCATGATCACTGTTAATTTGTACAACTTTAGTTATAGTTTTTTTTTTCTGAACCTTCAAATGTAGACTTTTAAAAACAAAAAATACTTTTGATTTTCTCGCAGAAAATTGACACATAAGAATCTAGTATAAACATATACGCACACCAAGATATACTTCTTTCCACCAATACTTTCTGCTTGAGTTGGACAAACCAAGTCCATGTGCAACATTTCTAAATAATGAGCTGTGAGTGTACCTTTGAGGTTTGTGGGTTGATATAACCAGTTTTCATGCTTGGTTGACACCCTAGATTCCATCATTCTCTATTTTGAGCTTTGGCATCCCACAAACTGCTTCATTTCTTTAATTTGTCAATGTCCAAGTAGTTCATGTGATCCAGCTTTTGGTACCACAATTTGGATTCATATATATAGTCTGGACCTGCAACAAACTAAGTCATTATAAAGTATGTAACGATTATAAGAAGAATGTGTACCTTCTAGTATCACTTTATTGTTCCCATCTAGAATACGGCCTACAGTGCCCTTTGTTGAAGTAAATGTTCCAATCTTAATCATATAGTTGATTTATGATAATCAGATTTGCATAGAGTCCATCAACAAGCAGTACATTTTTCGAATGTGGTAACCCAGGAACATAGAGTTCCTACTCTATTAATATTTCCTTTAGCACCATCATCGAAAGTGATGTATCATCACTTGAATTGGTTTCACATTGTTCATATTACTTTATAAGCTTGTCATATGACGTGAATTACCACTGTCAAAGTACTACTTGCATTATGTTACTCTAAAGACAGAAAGAGATGACACAAAAACAATTATATCATATTTTCGAACCCGTTAATGGAGCTATCTTCTTTCTAAAGAGTTTTTCAGGCCTTTGATCTAAATCGAAATGATGGCATTATATGGTCTTGTGCGGCTCTCTCTTTTTTTTTTTTTTTTTTTTTTTTTTTTTTTTGCAATAGTTACAGATTGGGATGTATATGCTAACTTGAATGATACAGAGTATGTGTCTGTCTTAGCAGTACTTAAAAGCAATAAAGGTAACACAATTTCTCAATATCTATTTATCTATTAGAATGTCCCAGGTTCATCGTCACTCTAGGTTGTGATTGACATTGATTTATTTATTCTCAAATACGTGAGACATTCTGCCTAAATATGCCCATATCCTTCACATTATCTACATGTAATTCATTTGCCCTTGGGATCATTAGACATAGACCCAAATTCTTTAGGTTGAAAGGATCTTGAGGTGGAAGGTTTCCCAACATCTGTTGAAGATTTAAGATTTCTTCTAGACTTGGCATTTGGAGATTGATTCCTTCTATTTTGAAATTGCATCCACGTTCTGGCTTACGACGACTAATCTGTTTTAGGATTATTTGGGAAACTTATTGCTTAATAGGACAATTGTTTCATCGTCTAATTTTTCAATATATGAAGCATTTGAATCATCATCAGGTGTGAATGCCACTACTTTCACTTTTTAACACTTTTTTCTTTGCTCAAGACTTCCATTTCGTAAACTATCCATGAGTTGAGATATTGTCTTGGTCTCCCGAGTCCCAGCCAATAATTTATTGGATTTTTGTAACCTTTATTCGGAATATTTTGGGAAGTGATCTTAAGATTCTCTTACTTGTAATATTTAACATCATATGTCCTCACATCTAGTTTGTAGGATATTCCAAGCCTTACTTGTGACACCCCGTAAATCTAAATGCTAATTGGGATTAATTAAGAAATTAATCCTAGCCTTCCTTGGTAATTTCTCTCTAAAAATCCTGAAATTTAATAGTCGAGAGACTAGAATTTGACTAGTCTCTTTAGTCAACCAAGTGTACCTTTTGCCTTATGTTTTGTACCTCAACCCTTTTTGCCTTTCCAACCTTGGTAAGGGTAAAGTTGACCTTTCACACATATTTTGTTATTCAAGCTATCCCTGGCAAGTCATTCCTTTCATTTCTCATGCTAGCCAAAGTCCCAAACACTCTATCCTCTCTCTAAAAAAAAACCTTACTTATTCTTCAAGCCAAAATGATGACCTTCTAGCTTTGCAAGATCACAGTCCAAGATTCCTACTTTCTGCTTCCCAAGCATAGGAAAGGGTAAGATTCATAGCTATTTAGTGTTTTTAGCCATCTTTTGGGCGTCTTTATATAAGTTAAAATCTTTCTTGTGTTTTGGCTTGTGTAAGAAGTTGGTGGAGAAGAAGAACTCCAAGAGGAGGCTTAGGAGAGTGAAAAGGAAGAAGTTGTAGGCTACAAAGGTAACCCATGCTATACAAAACCTATTTTATGCTTGATATTGATATTTCTTGGCTTCTATTGATGTTCTTGATGTGATTTGTGAGATTTGATGCATGATCTTGTGATGATGCATGTTTAGAGCTTGTATTTAGGTTTCTTGAATTTCATTGCTTGGCTTATTCTTGGGTTCAAGTCATATCTTTGTTGTGTGTGAGATTTTGGGTGTTTTGGACTTGAACTTGGCTTTGTTGATGAATTTCTCGGAAGGGAAAATGTGTACAGGAGGTGGACCCCGCGAGCGGAACGGCAGGCAGTGGCCTACCCACCCGCGGGGAACAGACTGTTTTTGGGAGTGTACCCCGCGGGCAGTACCACGGGTGGGGGCCTACCCGTGGCCCCACCCGTGGAAAACGTGTATGGGGATTGCGGGGATTTGTTCCCCGTGATCTTTTCTTCTTGGTATTTGATGTTTTGACCTCCCGTTGTTGGATTATTGAGATTTTGTGAGTCTTCTTGATGTTTCGTATGTCTAGAATGATGTGTTAGGAATCCATGTTAGGATTTGGTGTCTTGAATCATGCTAAGGGACCAACCTTGTGATTCGTTGGACTAATATGAGTCTTGAAGGTTCGTTGGAACCATTCTGGTTTATCCGTTTGATGAGCATGCTAGTTTGATGTTGTTATGCTAGTATGTACGATTTGTTCCTTCTTGTTGAGGATTGGCAACTCGTGTTGCCAATCATTTTGATGTTGGATTGTAGTCCTTTGTTGTGGAGTATTGCTTCATGTCCTTATTGAAATCTCTTGGTTGATTCTTATGATGTTACCTTGTACAAATCGTTGTACTCTTTGTTGATACTTGATTGGGGTTATTGATGAGCCTTAATCTTCTTGATGATGATGACTATGTGTGAATATGAATGAGATTGGTGGTTTTGTTACTTGAGCTTTGCTCACATGATCGATGGTATGTTACTATGATTGAACGGTACCCTCGTGTACTAAGAGTTCGGCGGTATTGTTTGGCGGGGGACGACGCTCCCAGACCGGGAAAAGGTTGGACTCAGAAGTATAGGGTGGCACTCGGAGGTACAGGTTGGAACTGTGATAAGGCCGGTGGTAGCCATAAGGGTAGTACTAAGGGATAAGGTTGGAACCTAAACTTGTCATTATGTGATTGTTGTACCTCTTGCCCTTGAGCATGCCTATGATGAACTCTACCTTGTGAATGGTAGGTTGCATCTAGAGTTGTGTTGTCCTTTGTTGTTTGTGGTTTGTTGTCTTGTTGAGGTTGATGATCCTTGGTCTTTGTTGAGAGTGCGATGAGTCTTTGATGTTGATCTTCTTCTGGCTTTCAAATGACTATATATTGTATTCCTCAGTCTCAAACGCTTTTGATTATATCCATCTATATATTATGCTATTTAACTTGTATTAATGGGTTACCAGCTTTATTCGCTGACTGGGTGTTATCCCTTATCTTATACAGGTTTTGAGTAGATGACGAGCACACTAGTGGAGTCTCTTAGCTAGTGTAGCTTTATCTTTTTCCCTTAGTTGATGTTTGGCCTGTGAGTCGTAGACTCTGAATGTTGGATAAGTTGTTATGTTTTGCATGTGCATCTTTAGTACTTTAGATGTGGCATAATATCCCCGTTTAGACTTGCTTCCGCTTAATGTTTAATAGATGATTAGATTGTTTATCTCTTTAAATTAAGTTTTAAAATGTTGATAAAAACGGGGGTGTTACATTACTGGCTTTGGTTCATCTAGCTAT